CAACGAACAATATTTTTCTCTCACAACAAATCAACTAACAGTACTTTCAGCCAACAGTACTATGTACCATTTGTTGTCGTTAATATTTGTTAGAATGGAGCAGACATTCTCCATGGTTCAACATAACATAGTGTGAATTGTTGTGACCATGTGGTATTTGGATCACATGTACAACATTCTGAATTATATTAAGACTTAATTCTCTAAAACCACATACTTATTAGGCCAATCTCAATATGAGTTTCATAGAGTTTCATGGGCATTAAATATGCTGACATGGTACTGTATTGATCAAGAGAGAGATGATGAAAATTTCATAGGAGTAGAGAGGATTTCATGGAGATGAAACACTTTTATACTGTTTCCAAAATATGAGTATGTTAGAAACTGAGCCATAAAACCTACACTGAGACTGGCCTTATGGTAGTAAAAGCAGAAATGCTCATGTTTGCTGACTAGTTCTGTGTACTTTAACTCCAGATTTTGTAGTCATAAGGTTGCAAAAAACACCACCATAACCAAATTGTAGGCCAGGGGGATCCTACAATCTCTTGGCTCATGATCCTCTCCATTCATTAGATTGTTTATTGAAATCATTTTTTTTCTTAAATACGTAGGAGGGCTATGTATCTTTGTTTTAAGGGATGAAAAAAACGGTCCCGTACAAAACAAACCTCCTTACTCCAGACCAAGCTGTAAGGAGGCTATGATGTTACATGATTAAGCAAAAACTATATATAAAAAAAAGGCCTGACCTGACCATGCAGCAACAGCTTGACCTAAAGCTCCGTGACCTTGCATTCCTGCGAAGCACCAAAGGTGACGTTCGACCCGAATGACCGAAGAATAACACTCAAAGTTGGGCTGTCTCCTTCAAAAGACAACAGATTTTCTATCCTTTCAAAGTAGCCAAGCTCATAAAACAACCACCGTGTTGATGCCCTTCCTTTTCTCCCTTGGAACTCGCTTGTTGATATTATGCCACCAATCTGCGAAAGTTTGTTCATTACTATTCGGCACACATGTCTGAAAACCCAACGGCTCCAGAACTCTGAACCAAAAATCCCGAGGAAGCACGCATGAGGTGAGTAGGTATTGGATGTTTTCTTCAGTTTTCAGTTTTGAAAAATTAAGGTAGGTTTAGATGCCAATAGCTAGCAATCTATATTTTATCATGAACATAAACCAGGTTAGCTCTCATTGGCCAAATAGTGAATTGTGGGGGTTACAATTTGGGTTGCAAGCAGTCAACCTTATCAAAGCTCATCAATTGGTTTGTGGACATTGAGATTGAACTTTTGAAAATGAACCCGCAATCCGACAATTTGGGTTGCGTGCAGTCAACCTATCGACGTTCATCAATTGGTTTGTGTACATTGAGATTGAACTTTTGAAAATAGTACAGATATGTTGTCTAATCGTCTTTCATAATCATGTACAATTTGTAAATATAGTGCAGATTAGTAGTGAATGCTGTGTTTGGGGATTGTATCAGTGTCTTACTCTTTGTGAGTGGAGGCAGTAGTTACATGTAAACCTATCCCCAACCATATATAGAGTTATAGCAAAAATAATTAAATTCATTTCAAGATGATACTTAGGCCTCGTTCGGCTGGCAGCATTTTAGCTGAAACTGGCTGAAAAACACTATTCTGGCTGAATTGTTGTGAAAAAAAAATACTGTTTCAGCTGGAAAAAGAAGCCGAACAAGCCAAATATGGAGTAAGCCGAACGGGGCCTAAGAATGCCAATCAAAACATTGGAATTGATAAAAATACAGGTACAGCTAAACAGTGCAATCTTATGCAGGACTCAAGCAGCTTGCACAGTGTCATAGGTTCATCTTTGAATCTTTAGTAGCTTTTGAACATTTTCTGAAATAAAGAATTCCTCATCATTTTGACTTGACACATAATTTTTTCCTCATATTCTGTAGTGTGCCATCAAATTGTTTCATCCTGCTATAAAGAAAAATGTTCAATTCTTAACTGGTAAAGTAATGCTTTTTATTTGCTACTTATAGTATTTAAACACTAGAATTTGCAATTGTATTGTTTAAGTAAAACAGGAATTGATTTCACTATTGATACGTTAGCCCTTTTCGCATTAAGCAATCATCCTTTATTTTCCTAGATACCACTTGCAGTGTCTAGTACCTTTTTGTTATATCAAGATTGTTTATTATGATCTGAGCAGGTTGCTCTTGCATCTGGGAATAAAAGGAACATTGAAAAAGTCAGAAATGCTCAGTTTAGTGTTAACCTGCCCAATGTTGTAACTGTCGATCCGATGGGTATGGCATTGGCGATGGGTATGGCATTGGACGAAGACAACTTGCATCTTGCCACCGAGTCACAAGTAAAGCTTGGCAAAAATGCTTGCAGAAGCCTACATCATGAACTTCTTAACAGCAACTTGTTAGGTGAATACAAGGTAAAATTCTTTGGGACTCTTATAGGTACCATGATCTGTTTGACCATTTATTTCTGCAACTATCTTTCTTGATACATCCATGTGAGTTCTTGGTGATATAAGGAGTAAATCAGTCTTTAACACCTGGTTCTCAGAGTAGAGTCTTTAGTGTATTAACCGAAATCATGGTAGGAAAGGTTTTTACCAATACATTTCTTGGCTTTTGTTTCATTCCCGGATTTTTGTTTTTGCAGGCTCTCAACATCTTCAATCCACCGTAAGTATATTTGACAAGGTCACCCAGCTACAAGACTGTCATGTGCCCAAGCACTTAATCAATCAAAAGACATTGTACCTATCCTATATCCGGGAATACGCTAACGAGCCTCAATTCGTGTATAGCATTTCAAAGTCTCTTCATAACATTTCCTTCCATATTGTAATAATGGTTGCTGTCGTTTGTTTTTTTCTTGCGAACCTTGTGCAACAACTTGTCCTGGTGTTGCAATCCTGCACGTGGCTTGCCCAAAAAAAGTTTTTTTTAAAAATTAGCCAAAGATGCCCGGACTCCATGAAAGAGTGTTATTCTCGTTTTCCGATAAGTCAAATATTTTTAACTTTGATTAAAAACATATAAAAAATATTAATATTTATGATACATAATTAGTATCATTAGATAAATCATTAAATATATTTTCATAATAAATTTATATGGAAATGCAAATGTTGCTATTCGTCCTGTTCGTTTGAGCTTGTTTGACTTATAAGGCGTACTTTTTCAATCAATGAACAATATTTTTCTCTCGCGCCAAATCAGCCAACAGTACTTTCAGCCATGGCTTATCAGCCAAACAAGCCCAAACGAACATGACGATTATTTTTACAAACCTACACTCTGTTCGCTTCAACTTATCAATTATGGAACAGTGTTTTCTCTCACAATAAATCAGCTTTAGCTAGCTTATCAACTACAGAAACCGTAAGCCGAAGGAGTACATGATTCCTACGGTGACACTTTTTTTTTTTAGAACGGAAGGGGTACGTGATTCCTAAAATGACTCTCTATTTGGAATGGAGGACGAAGGGTGTATGCGTGATGTGAACAACCTTCTTAGCCTTTCTTTTATATATCAAAGAAGTGGTTAGGCTTCTTTTATTTTAATAAACAAATAAAATGAGGCGGTTTTTCTCTAGGGTTCATTATCATCACGTTTTCTGACGACCAAACAGGCTCTTGTGTTGCATTAGACAAAAAAATAAGCTATTGAACGTTCATGTAAAATGCAAATATAAATACTATGTATCTATATACTCTGATAAAGCTAAACTTCACTAGATGTTTTATCTCTTTATGCAAGACGTTCATATTATTCCCCAATAAGTGTCCCACTAACTTGCAATCCTATCATGCAATCTATTTATGTCATCCCTTATTAATTACAAAAAATATCCACATCATCTCTATTATGTGCAACACTTTTAATCTCTAATCTATTAACGTAAAGTCATTTACATATACTATTTGTTTCATCACCTATTCTTCTATAATGTGATCAAATATTCCATTGGTTTTTTCTTCTATTAGCCATGTCATCCCTTATTAATTACCAAAAATATCCACATCATCTCTATTATGTGTAATACTTTTAATATCTAATCTACTAACATAAAGTTATTTACATATGCTATTTGTTTCATCACCTATATTCTATAATATGTTATCAAATATTTTATTAGTTTTTCTTCTATTAGCTTACTAATTTTTTTACCAGATCTGATATAATAAAATAACATGTAAGTCAAATTCATATATATACAGATTTATTTTTAAGAAAATCCCGCGGCAACGCGCGGGTATTCTTCTAATTTACTTATGTTTTACTATTTTTATAAAATTCAAAAGCTATCATTTGTTTTTCTGATGACCATGACATCTATAACACTCCCTCTATTCCCAAAAAAATACAACTCTCACTTCCTAGAGAGCCAAACGATTTTAAATTTAACTAAATCTTTATAAAAAATATAAACATCTATGATAGTAAATAAGTATCATTAGATTAATTACCAGACACATTTTCATAGTAAATTTATTTAAAGATATAAGCATTGATATTATTTTCTATAAACTTAATTAATCGTAAGAAATTGACCTGTTCAAAACCTAGAATTGTATTCTTTTTAGGACAAAAGTAGTAGAAGCTAATATTGACAATAATATCACAATGTCCTATTAAATTGTATTAAATTAAAATACAACCTGGATAGTTTTTTTTCTCAGTGCAAAGTATGAAAATATTTACTCATAAATATATCATAAGTTTAATTTTCACACTCCATTACAGTTATGGAGTATACAAGTTAATTAGTTTCATAACTTCTTTTGAGGACCTATAAAAATTTGTAATTCTATTCACAATTCAAGGGTTGATACAACCAACAGCCGCTCGTAGTATTACTTCTTGCTCTAACAAATCACGGTGTCATGCCGTTCACGCTCCAGACCACCAATAGAATAATCACTCCTTGGATCCGGCGACCGCCGTCGCCGCCTGCTTCCCCAGCTCGCAATCCTTCCTTCCCATCTGATGCCCGCGGACAAGCGCCTCGCCGCCGCGGCGCCGTACCTACCGGCGGAGCTCATACCGGACATCGCTCGGCACTTGACGACGCTCCAGGACTTCTTCGCCCTCCGCGCCGCCTGCCGCTCCTACCGCGCCGCGCTGACACCCTCCCGCGCCGTCCTCGCGTCCCAGCCGCCACATCTACTCGTGCCCCACCACGCCTCCTCCCCGTGCTCGCTGGCCCTCATCCACCCCCCGCGCCGCCGCCTCCTCCGCTTCCGTGCGCCCTCGCACCCTTTCCGCAGCGCCGTCGTTGCATCCGACGGCGCCCGCGTCGTCACCTTTGACCACTTTGCTCGCGAGCTCTCCGTCACCCACCTCCTTTCCGGCGACCGGATTCGCGTCCCTGACGCTCCCTTCCTGTTCTCCCGCGCAGTCCTCGCCGGCGACCTCGTCCTCCTCATCGCACCCGGGTGGGTTCAGTACTGCCGCCTCGGGGACGGCCGATGGCGGGAGGCGTATTGCCGGCTCGGGGGCTGCGGCGGCAGCCTCTTTGGTGGTCTTTACATGATGGTCGGCATGCTCGCGGTCAATGGCGTCCTATATGCTCTCCTCAACACGTGCCAACTCGCAGTGGCAGAGCTGATGGACAATAAGGTTGAATTAAAGCTGCTTGGAGGGGAAGTGAGTGACCATGTCAGAGATGCTTGGATGGAAAGCAAGGATTTCATGCTTGGGGCTTGTGCTGGTGAGCCCTTACTCATCTTCAAGGTATCGGTCAAGCCTGAATACAAGGTTTTCCGGTGGGAACCTGCGGAGCAAAGGTGGGTGAGGGCTATGACCCTGGGAAGGCGGACGCTTTTCATGTCTGGCAATGGCTTTGATGCTTGGGTTGGTCCAGATTCACCTGGAATTCGAGGGGATTGCATATATGAGGCTCTGCCACGGGCAGCAGGTTGGAGTGAGTACTCTTTAGTTGATGACACTTATGAACTCGTCACTATTGATTACCAAGGTGCACCAGATCTAGATGCCTTAAGAAAGCAGGTTTGGGTGCTTCCGAGCTTGTACTGATATTGGCCTATGAAGATCTAATTCTGCGATTGAATCCATCGATATCACCTAAAGGTCATTTTGCTCATCTACTGTATTCTTAGCTATAAATTGCTTAATTGTAGTACATGAATTTGTTATTACTTATCATCAGTTTTAAGTATTGTATTGATCTAATTTGAGTGCAAATGGTGTTCCAATACATATAGAGGCCTCTGGGTCTCCTAAATTTGATAGTTCAAAATATGGCCCTTCTCTTAGTTGGCACTATCTTTGTTGGGTTAGCCTTACTAAGACAGCTCTGTACTTGAACATTTGAATTTCAGATAATGACATATGAGTGTGCACCATTTAGTGGTGTGGGATCTTCTGTTTATTCTTGATAATTTCAGGATGCTTGCTACTTGCCAATTCAGGGATGGAGCTACTGCAAGATTCTGGCTTGATTTATGGATTTTGTTCTTTTGAAATGGTCTTTTCCACAGCTCTTTCCTTTTGGAAAAAAAATATAAAAGCTTTTGGCACTCCAGTTTCTGTTGCAAACCAAATGGTTCATTGTCAATGCCCATGGAAGCTTTGGCTCAGCTTACAAATCTGAGTATGCTCAAGGCCTTCACTTTGTGAAGATGACAAGGATAGTTGGGTCCTATAGTGAAATAAAATTTTCTCCGCTAAACAATCCTACAAAATGTTCTTTTGATCTTTGCATGACTGATCCAGACTTTGCTTGGTTATTTAATCCTGTTGCCATGGCAAGGGCAAGTTCTTGTTCTGACTTCTTTTGAAAGATAGATTGAACATGCTCAACTTGCTTCTCTTACCTGGACAACTTTGTAACCCCTGCACTCTATCTCAAGAAGGGTCCTGAGTTCTTCATCTCGTCTTCCCATGCTCAGCAGGAAATGTTGGTGCTTCGGGACCTGTGACCTATCTATACTCTCTTTTTTTTTTGACATATTGGCTAAGGGTCACCAGGGCCTTGGATTGCACATCATCAGGGGAGGTTTTGATCACATATTGGTCAGTCTGTTCAAAGCATGATATCATTTCCACCAATGCATCCTGGCCTTCCAACATTGGAAGAAGAAAGGTTTGAAGGAAAACTTCAATTTCATAGATCGGTCAATCTGTTCAAAGCATGATATCATTTCCACCAATGCATCCTGGCCTTCCAACATTGGAAGAAGGGTTTGAAGGAAAACTTCAATATTATAGTCGAACTTCAATATTGGCTAGAGTCATGCTCTCTGTAAACAGTCTAAGATTTCTCTTTGGACCTGAGGTCCACCCATGTACATGTAGTGTTTTCCTTATTAACAGAAAATCACAATATGCGGCTGTCCTCATGTTTACTGTTAGACATATATATTCATGTGGGCCTGGGGTTGGGTCTTGCAGCTATAGCGCAGCCAGCCAACCCGTATAGTTGTGTTGCCTTGGACTCCAAGTTCAGCACACCTGTAGATTGAGTTGTATTTGGCATGAATATGAGAGAATGGTTCTGTTTCCATAAGCTGCCCTTGTCCTATATTTACATGTATCATGTACTCATATAATCAATCTACTACTTTCTCATATCAACCCAACTTACAATTAGATCCCCTCCTGCTGCACTACTTGTGCCGTCCTCTGTTTGGTGCCTTTACTCATTACAAGATCCCATCATTGAGATTGCATCGGCCAGAGCCTGATCTACCTGCTTCACCAGCATACAATTTCCTTTGTATTTGATAATACACCCTGCTGTCATCCATGTATCCCTTTGGTACCTGTACACATTTCAAATTCATATCCAATGGTGATTGTTCGCATCATCCATTTTCAAATTCAGGATGCTGAATCACAATGAGTATATATTTGGATAATTTCAGTTTTTCACCATTTCTCGTGATCTAGCTTTGTGTGGTGTATATTTGATACTTTGGATAATTTTATGATAGTGGTTCTTTATCAACTTTTAGCCATTCGCCATTTCTTGCAGAAGGCATTAACTTCTTGCACGGGGCACAATGCACATGGTAACCCGTAGGGCATCAATGAGGTTTTTTTTTTTTTGAAATTTTAAAACTTTCATTGCATAGACAGGTTACGGATATGGGGATCATGTTACCCCAAACGAAGGTTTCTAGCACATGCTTGATATTACATGTTGGAGAATGAGCAAGTGCCTGGCAAGAGAAAAAGCACGAAGTCGGGATGGTTGCCCGTCTTGCCCGTTTTGCTAAAGCATCAGCAATCTTATTTGTTTCTCACCCAATTTTGATCACCGAATAGCTTTTTGCTTGCTTGATGTCCTGCACTTTAGCAATAATAGGACGCAGCGACCAATGCCCAGGATGAGAACGTGGCGATGCAGCAAGCACGGCAGATGCCACCACCTGATTATCAGTTAACAAAGCTGCATTCCGAAGATCGAGCGCGGCAGCTAGCACCAAAAAGGAGGGCATGAGCTTCAGCCTCCAAGGGTTCCAAGACCTGCTTAATCGCTACCTGAAAAAAAGAAGCATGGGAAATGCTTCTAGCAGGTTGAGTGATGATGAGAACTCCAATTCCAGTTTGGTTGCCTGCAACTAGAATTTGAGAGTCAACAGAAGCATCACAAAAGATTTTAGGACCTTCATGAATCTGCAGGGTAGTAAAATGAGAAGCTTCTACAACGGTAGGAGTTGTAGGCCCCGTTTGGGAGAGCTCCCAGAGCTGATTCTTTGCTGAATCTAGTAGGAGCTTTGCCAAACAGTTTTTCAGAGAGAAGTGATTCTCAACTAATTCCGTAAAGTGATTCTCTAAAATGAACTAGGAGGCTAAAAGTTGAAAAAAGTAGCTTCTCCTGATTCTGTAAAGTGATTCTTTATCTTGATTTCAAGAGTTTATGCTAAAAAATCAAAGAGAATCACTTTCAGCTACAGATTCACTTCTCTTAGAGAATCAGCTTCCTTAGAGAATTAGAATCAGATAGAGCTCTACCAATCAGGCTCGTAGTAGCTTGTGGAGTAGATTCTTGTTGAAATGCAAGAGTGTAAGCCCCATCAATGGCCTTTGCCTCTTGCAACACTCTTTCAACCAACCAATTTAGGCTATTAAATCTGTAGTCATTACGAGCTTTCCATAAACACCACGTGATGGAGAAAATAATACCTGTAGTAGCTTGAGATGGCCCTTGCTGTAATATGGCGGCAATCTGAAAATGCAGTCCATGGCCTGCCTGGGGTAAGGCATCAGCTCTAAGGCCAATAGGTGAAGCAAACCATACCGCTCGAGCGAAGCTGCGATAAAAGAAAAGATGTTTGTCGTCTTCGGGCCTTCCACAACGAGAGCAATGCTCATCAACCGTCGAAATAATCCTGTGGATCCTGGAAGCTGTCCCAAGGGCGTCTGAGAAGCCTCCACACGAATGTTTTGACATGAGGCTGAAATGTTTTGTCTGCCCATAAGCGTCTAAGAATCTACGATACACTACTAGAAATATCCATTTCTACGACGAAAATCTTAATGACGAATCCAAAACTATCACAGAAGATCGCTTTTTATGACGAATATTTATGTTTCGCCATAGATCAGTGGTGACGATCCTCCAATCCTCCCTATTTATGACGAAACTAGGCATCGTCACGTAGAAACGTCATAGAAGAGCACGGGGTTCGTCACCAAAAACCTCGCGCGATAGTTCCTTCTCATCTGTGACAATTCTTTTTAGAACTGTGACGACCAGGGCTTCATCATTGAACTAATTACACATCTATGGCGAAGTTTTCGATCTGTAACAAACGGCACTTCGTCATAAATCTCCACATGGTCCTTTCTCCATCCGACGTGTACCTGTGGGACCTGCAGTTACTCATCCGTGACGCTTGTAATTCATCATAAAGTCTCCCGCTCGGTCCTTTCTCCATCCGACGTATACCTATGGGACCATTCTCCATCCAATGCGTACCTGTGGGACCTGCATTTACTCATCCGTGATGCTTGCAATTTTTCATAAAAGTCTCCGCTCGATACTTTCTTCATCCGACGTGTACCTACGGTACCCTTCTACATCCGACCTGTGGGACCCGATGGCTTACGTGTCACGTGTACCTGTGGGACCGTTCTCCATCTCCATCCGACCTGTGGGACCCAACGGTTTGTATGTCACTTGACGCTTGCAATTCGTCATAAAAGTCTTCTCTCGGTCCTTTCTTCATCCGACGTGTACCTGTGGGACCCTTCTACATCCGACCTATGGGACCCAACAGCTTATGTGCCACGTGTACCTATGGGACTTTTCTCCATCTCCATCCGGCCTGTGGGCCTCAGGGTTTAATTTCTCAAAAAAAGGTCTGATACCTAGGAGTCAAACCTAGGATCTGGACCAAGGAATGGAACGTCTTTACCATTGCACTAGACGCCTGGCTGTGCTGATATCTCTTTGGAGTCGCTATAGTTCCTATTGGCTGTGTGGATGCCCTATAGGTTGACCAAAATTAGATATCCCCTGCAAGTGGAAACAAATATGTGCCTACTGGACTTGTAGCGGCGGTGGAGGCGAAGGCGGAGGCGGAGGATCCCCGGTCTACTGTGGTGGCTCAGGCGTCCTTTTTGTGGCGTGGCGGGGCTCTCATGGTGGAGCGTGGCGGCATTAGCGTCCGCGTGATCAGGTGTGTGCCGCGGCAGAGACGGCTTGCAGTCGAGCCATGCCAGTTCATAGAACAAAGGTATGAGTACCTTCTTTTGTGATTATAGGACTACATTTTCTGTACACGATAAAGTAAAGTACACATAAAGAAAGGCTATTCTGTATGAATTTCAATTGAAATCAATGCTTTTGTCCCATAAAAATAGAAAACCAGACTGTCCCATAGTATGATATGAGCAAATGCACATATTAGTGCTCTCGAACACTCTATGCTTTATTCTAATGCTAGTTTTGCCATTGTCCACCAAATGCTCTAAATTATAACGGACTTTGCATACTTTTGCTGCAACATATGGATAGATCCTGGATTCCTTATGGGAGACCATTCTCACCGATGTTCACCAATGGA